ATATATATATATATATATATATATATAGGTAAGATGAGGTAACATATATATATGATATGTTGACATCAGTGTCCTCTTTATATATATATATCAACTTTACTCTTAATATCCTATGGAAATATGAAAAAATATAAAGAATTCATCTCCCTGCTAAATGCTAAAACTAGTTAACATAAAATAACCCTATCTCAAAGGGAAGTACCAAAATCTGGCGTAGCTGACCCTATATAGTGGCATAGGATATCAATCTAACCATTTTGTGATAGAAATACTGGATAATAGGCATTACTTGGAGATAGAAAAATTCGGTGAAGTAATGCATATTGGTTTGGCTGAAAAAAAAAGTGATAACACGGAGTGAGATTTTCACTGCTTGGCTGAGGCCAAAAAAGAAACAAAAAAAAAAAAGATGAGAGAAAGATAAAAAGTAAGATTACATAGTAATTCCTCACATAAAATATTTATATAACTCAGAGAATAGCTTGGCTCAATCTACATCGTGTTGCTGTGAATGGATTGGACCATTCTCTATAATTCATACCATTTTTGTCTGAATTTCTAGGCTGAGGAGTTATCATTATTTACGTTCGTACTATTGTCCGCGTCTTTATTGTTATTATCCAACGTTTAGGACGTTGTGCCCTTCGGCCTTCACCAGTTGATCTAGGTAACCTTCAGGGAATTTCAAACTAAAAAAAAACTTAATGCTTAAAAGATATCCCTAGAAAATCCTCCACCTTAGGTAATTATTTTATATATGGTGGAGGATTTTGTAGGGATATTATTTAAACATTTCACCCCAAGCAAGGCAGGGGGGGTCACTAGCACGCAGGAGTTTACGGAGGGTGAAAGATTAAGGCGACAGAAGATGGCGATTGACATTGCCTTTAAATTTTTGAAGATTGTAGTTATCAGAAAAGCAAGTGTGAGGCGATTGTCTTTAACTATTTCAATAGTAAATTAGTGGGACCTAGATGCCAATCTAGTAGCACGCTTAAATTCCTGTGGTCGGGGCACCAAAGGAAAAAAAAAAGCTCTTCAGCGCAGTAGCCATGAAAATATTTGTAGAAAAGACAGAGGGAAGCCATATCACGTTTGTAAGAAAGTGTCTGGAGTTGAGAAGCCAATTCAGGACTGATTACATTACAGATCCTTCTTTGCATTTTGTCGAGTACCTCGTGATGAACGTCAGGGGGACCAGATATGGCTCATCTTGTCCTTATTTTGTTATTGCTCGACCCTCTTCTTCCTGGTCCAGGGATTGAACTCACAATTACTATGTTACCAAATTCATGAATCAATGCTATTGACGTGACGGTTAGTTAAATCAACAAGCACCTGGTGAAGTTCGGAAACTATAACTGTCGAAATCGTCGTCGGCATCCGTCCGTCTCCTGGGCGGAATATATGGAGAACTAGGGCTGCCCAGACGTCTAGTTCCCTCTCTCGGCCTTGCTAGAAGAGTCCAAAGGAGAGGATAAACCAATACAGTTTGGTACCAGCGCGGCTGCAGGAATTGCCGGAAGGTAGGACAAAGTGCCGTCCATCCGCCTTAGGGGCTCCACTCCAGGGTTTAAATTCAGAGTTGTCCTTCTCTTAGACCAGTTGCCATCCAAGGCTGTAGAACCCAGTCTGTCCTGCTATTTACCCATAGATGGAGGGAGAAGAAGAGGATTCACACCTTTCTCAAGGTTATTAGCACGTAAGTAAATGTAATGGATTCGATTGGAATTCGAACTCCGATTCCTCAATCCAAGCCGCTATCTATTACTCCACCGTGCCTCCAACTGCCGAAATATATAGCAAATAATATATATATAATGTAAATAATGACAACATTACCTTTTTCGAGTGAGGGTAGAATTTTCTGTCTTTTTTATCTAGAAAAAGAAACCTTCTCTGTTTCCAGACGTTTTGACCAGTCTAAGACTGTATCGGCTAAAATGTTATGGCAACAATAGAATCAATAAAGATGATATGTCTGATAGAAGAAGTTTTGGAATAATAAATGGAAGAAATTTCAAAAAATATCAATATCTTTATTTTAAAATTATTAATTATTTATTACTAATTAACACAAATTCCTGAAAATAGAATTTGCTCGTATGAAGTGTTGGACAAAAGCCGCAAATAAACAAAGATGGTCGGTTGATATTCGATTATCCGAATTATCTAAAACAAGATATCAGAAGCATTATTTAAATAAAAAAAAAGTAAATATAAAAAGAAGGTGGCAAGAACAAGGCAACTTTCTTAGGAACGTCACGCACGTGCACACATCTGCCTGAATTCACTAAGTAGATATTTTCTATACTTATGTCTACGTGATTATGCGAAAGGGAATTTAATTGTTCGAACGTTGACATGTTGAATCAGTAACACGTGTGTTCTTTAAAAGGAAACGAAAAACTGACATTTTCATTGCTACATTGAACTAAACATTTTAAATGGATTCACACACACACACACGCACGCACACACAAACAGACACACACACACATATATATATATGTATGTATAAGTGAGAGGTTATAGTTTTCCAAAGAGAGAAATGTGTATATTTTAAGGAGAAGAAAGGAGCTGCAACGTTTTTGGTTATAATGTGTATTGGTTAAACTATAAAATATATTTTATATTTAAAAAAATCCACATTATAACCAATAATAACCTCTCTTGTGTTTAAAATACATACATACATACATATATATATATATATATATATATATATATATATATATATATATATATATATATATATAATCGACTCTCCTGTCGAGATTCGACGTATGAGGGTCAAGCAGATCAGTTTTCAGGAAACCGACAGCCCGACACCGGCACATGAGATTTGATTATAGTGGTGAAGGCCTCGTGTAGGACCAGCCACACTTTTTCAAGGGACGAATACAGAGACCTGGTGCACCGAATGCAACAAGGTTCCCAGACGACCCTCCGCAGGTTTTGAATTCAGAGTTGTCCTTCTCCTAGACCAGTTGCCATCAAAGGCTATAGAACCCAGTCTGTCCTGCTATTTTACCCATAGCTGAAGGGAGGGAAGAGGATTCATACCTTTCCCAAGGGTATTAGCACGTAAGTGAATGTAATGGATTCGACTGGAATTGAACTCGGCTCTGCGATTCCTCAATCTAAGCCATATATATATATATATATATATATATATATATATATATATATATATATATATATATATATATATATATATATATATATATATGAGTCAACATTCAGAGCGACAGACTGTTTTATGCTTTCTTGATATTTTTTCTTGGTTTCTTATTCATTTTCTGTGTTTTTTTATGTATTTTTTCCTTGGAAGGCTTTGTGTTCGTAGAATAGTTCTTGGAAGCTTTACCAATAAGTTGATTTGTTTTTTTATATATATATATATATATATATATATATATATATATATATATATATATATATATATATATATAAAAATCAGCTTTCCGAAGGAAAAGATAGCTTTATGCTAAACGCAATTATCAGTCTTGATGATTGTATTTAGCATGAAACAGTGTGTGGCCTCTGAGTGTTGACTTCAATGTTCACTTTTATATTTATATACGCTCTATCTTTGATATTGAGCACTCTATTTCAAAGATATAGCATACCTTAAAAATATATTTCTTCATATATATATATATATATATATATGTATGAAGAAGTATATATATATATATATATGAAGAAATATATATATGTATATATATATGTGTGTGTATGTATTAGAGGTTGATAATGGGCGTAAACTGTTGTTTCGCCATTTATTATCTATCTATCTATCTATCTATCTATCTATCTATCTGTCTGTCTATGTATCTTTCAGCTTCTTCAAATCATTCTATCTAGAAATGATGTTTGTGAATATTGGTAGATAAGTGCTGATAAAAATATAAATATTTATTATCAACCTTTTCCACATCAATTTTCGTTTGACTTTCGAATTAAAGTGATTTTATTCTGTTTCCATTCGAAAAAGGAATCATTTTAGAATTTTGGCCATTAAAAGACTCAGTTGATTAACTCGATCCATCCTAGAATCTTTCTGGCCATTTGAAACTTCACTTTCCTGTCGTCCAACATTTATTCACTGATTGTAGAGTTCTCCCAAATTTATCTTCTTGAATAATTTCAAAGGAATGACTTATTTGTATCGATTTCGGTAATTGTTGCAAATGAATACTTGCTACGACAATGAAACTCGGATCAAATCTAAATAAATCATAGACAAGATAAACGTTTTGTTTTGCTTATCAAAGCACCAGAGATGATATTTTAACTGACTTAAAGATTATCGGTTTGGAGAAAACAAGGCTTAATCCGTTTTTAATAACATAGAAATATGCAATCATTTCGCAAATAAAGATTGTCAAAATATATAGCTCATTTTAGTGCATCGTTTCATCAAATTATCTTCCCTTGAAAATTGGAAGTGAATCGTATGAATGAACCTTCATTTACATGTAACGCTGTACGCAACTCAGGGTTGGTGCATCTCTTTTCTCCTTTAACTTCTTCGTCCATATGAATTCTGATCTTATTTCATTTTATGCGATATCGTTAATATTCGATTAATTCCTCTATTTACAAGCAACTATTTTCCTAATCTTTGTTATTGTTTGTAGATGTATTTGTCGTATTGTCTGGTATTTTGTAGACTAACTTCCTTTTCTCTTCACCCCGTCTTTTGTACTCTGCATATTTATATTTTCCGTGATTTAGTGTCAATTTGTCAGCATAAAAACAATATGGCTTCCCCGCGAGATTTTTTATGTACGGACATTCATGTGGTAAGTTTTTTTTCTATTTTTTTTCAAACTACATTGTTATCACGATTTTTCGGTCGTTGTGTCCTCCGGCCTTAATCAGGTGCATTTCGATCTGGTGATCCGAATTGAACCCCTTATTTAATCTAGCGGAATAGACTGTTCCCTTTACACTTCTCGTGTCTAGGGAAATCTCGTCTAATTGTTAATTCTTTACTACTGCTCAGTTATTGTTTGTCGTGTGTCTACTAATTGCAAGTACACATTGCCCGGGCCAGGAATTGAACTCACAATTACTAAGACACCAAATTCAGAAAACAATGTTTTAATCAACTGAACTATTGTCCTATAGGACAACAACAAAGATGGGAACAATTGTCTGCTTGTAAACAGAGCAAATAACGATAATTGTTCATCTCGGAAATTCAGACTGAAATAACTTCCGTTTATAAGCAACAATTTTCAACCCCTGCCGAAAATTGTCGACTGGATTTAGTTCAAGCGATTGAGAAGGTCATTTTCTTTATCATAATTTTACTCCCTTAAACCAATCTCAGGTGATTTTCAAAGTATATATATATATATATATATATATATATATATATATATATATATAGATCTGTTCGATAAAAGTGATTTACCTGATTTTTTTGCATAAAATTTTTTCGCCTATTGTTTTTGGAGTCAAACTAATTTTTAATTTTACTAATATAAAGACCCGTTCTCGACCACTTCGTAAAAAAGTTTACTCACCCTAAGGTATTCTATTGATAATTATAATTTTGGATATAAATGGGATTTAGGGAAAAACTCTATACAAATAAGTGACTCACTTATTTCCTGCAACTAATAGAAACATAACCGAACAGCTTTAAATAAAGAATAATAGAGGTATAATTTATTTATAATAGGTAATATAGTTCGAAATATTTAATAATCTATGGGTCCTCCTTTATTTTGAATGACCTTTTCAGCCCTTTTTGGCATTGACTTGATTAGGTTCCAGCAAATCTCATCTCCAAGCATTGAATTTCATTCGAATATGAAATTCACAATCAAATCCTTTTTGTTGCTCAACTGCTTTCTCGAGAGCCTGTACTTTATAATGCTCCATAAGATTTCTATGGGGTTAAGGTCAGGAGATTGGGGTGGCAATGTCATAACACTCGCCTGCTTCTCATCAAAGTATTTTTCATCAATTTTGATTTGCGACAGGGAGCATTATCCTGCATAAAAATGAGCTTGGTAGGGTCGATTTGCACCCTTTCAGCAAAAGGGAGCAGAAAAGACCCTAAAATTCTCTTGTAATGCTCGCTTCTGCGGGTCTTTTCAAAAGGTTTTAAGAAACCAGTTCGATGAAATGAAAAGCCTCCCCAGAACATTATACTGAACGGATGCTTGTCAGTACTTACTGCTAAATTCAAAGAGCTTCCAAATCTTCTTCGGATTTTAGATCACTTATCCTTTGAATTTAGCTCAACTTTCGTTGAGAGAACATTTAGTAAAAAAACAACAGGTTAGTCACTTTTATTGAACAGCACTATATATATATATATATATATATATATATATATATATATATATATATATATATATATAAAAGGCTCAAGCACTAATATTCCATGGTTATAATTTATTACATTGGAATCGTAATCACGATCCAATTCATCAGATTTACAAATTCTAAAAGAAATCGGATATATATATATATATATATATATATATATATATATATATATATATATATATATATATATATTAAAATGCTCTGATATTTTACTGAATTTACGATATCCCAATTCTGAGAGAATTGAAAATCCTACTGGGATTTATCATTGGCGGACACAATCTTAACAACATAAGACACGCAGATGACACAGTACTGATAGCAGACACGGAAAAGAAATTAGAAAATCTCCCACAGAAGGTAGCAAAGGAAAGTAAGAAGAAAGGACTAATCACACACTACAAGAAGACAGAATGCATGGTTATCAGAAAAAGGATGAGCAGAAAATGAAAATTACAGGTTTAGAAATTTCAATATCTGGAAAGTGTTCTAACAGAGGACGGAAAGTGTGGCACTGAGATCCGTAATTTTATGGTCAAGGGTATTAAGAGACAGGAAAATTTCGTTGGAAACAAAGAAGATATGAAATGTTAAATGATTATGACAGTGAAAGCTGAAAAATCTCTTTAAAGATGAAGAGACAAGCAACAGAAACATAGAAAAGAGTACTGAACTGTTACATGATAACTGTCCTCCAATATGGCAGTGAATGCTGAAAAATCGCCTAAAAATGGTGAAGAGACTGAAGCAACAGAAACATAGAAAAGAGTACTGAACTGTTACATCATAACTGTCCTCCAGTATGGCAGTAAATGCTGAAAAATATCTTTAAAGATGAAGAGACTGAAGCTACAGAAACATAGAAAAGAGTACTGAACTGTTACATCATAACTGTCCTCCTATATGGCAGTGAATGCTGAAAAATCTCTTTAAAGATGAAGAGACTGGGGCAACAGAAACATAGAAAAGACTACTGAACTGTTACATCATAACTGTCCTCTTTGACAGAGAAATTTAGAGCCTAAAATTATGGAAAATAGGTCATGACTAATGTTTTGGGGATGAGTAAGATATTTTGTATTGATTGCTGACACGGAAAAGAAATTACACAGAAGGTAGCAAAGGAGAGTGAGAAGAAGAGACTAAGCATAATCTACAAGACAGAATGCATGGTCATCAGTAAAAGGAACAGCCCGAAATGCGATTTACATGTCGGGGAAACTAAAATCAAGATGGTGCGAAAGATTAAATATCTGGAAACTGTTAAATGCGACGCTGAAATCCGAAGTCGTATTCGGACGCATTCCAAAAGCTGGGCAGAGTATTGCAAGACAGGGAGATTTCTTTGTTAATAAAGATAAGAGCACTGAACTGCTATGTGACATCTGCCCTCCTTTACGGAGCGAATGTTGGACGGTCTCCTCAAAGATAAAGAAGAGACTCGAGGCAACAGAGGTTCTACAGAAGGATGTTAAGGATATCATAGCGAGTGTGTGAGCAACGAGTAGGTCTTGGAAGATGCAAATAAGGAGGAAGCGTCTACTTAACTTAAGGAAGAGGCAGATGAAATTTCTCGGACGCATAATGAGAAAGGAGGGCCTGGAGAATCTGTTACTCACAGGTTGAATAGAGGGAAAGAGAGACAAAAGAAAGCAAAAAATGACATACCTGGCGGGCTTATGTAAGCGGATGACACAACGTGGCAGATGGAGGAAAATTATTGGGAGCTACGAAGGATAGTGGGGAGTAGAGAGTCATGATTGCCTACGTGCTGAAGGGACGCGGCACATAAAAAAGAAATTCTTGAGGTTTTCTTGAATCTGCTGCTCTAAAGAAATCCCATAAAATGATTTGCCCACTGCATTTTTGTCGAGATTTACTAGCCGCACGTTTCGTTCAATTTCGCAAATCATCGATGAAATTTGAATAAGATGCTTTGTTTGGAAAATACTTTGACAAAACCCCTACCTCTAATTTAACTTTATAGAACTTCATGCTAATTATTTCTTCCCCCCCCTTTTTTAATAGCGAAGGATAAATTCTTAAGCTTTCTTACTCTTGAGCATGCAACATACAACTGGCCATCGGTAAATATTTCTTTTCTGGAGCTAAATTCCAACTTTTTGAAGCGTTTAGCCTTGTGATTTGTTTATAGTTTTTGCAAATGCAGGGCAACCTGGAAACTGGATTCTTGTATATAAAAACTTAAAGAAAAGATAGGCAAAAACAATATTGCATTTTTATTAAATAAGTATTTGTTATTTTAATCATTAAATTATTTAAAAATAGTTGGAGTAATTTATATGTTAAATAATAAAAAAAATAATTTTATTATACAAATTAATGAAAAGTTACGCACCCTGGAAAAACCAACTGGACTTTCTTGTTTGCACTTCACCCCATAATTTGGTTTCGATCGGTCAATATATGGATATTTTAGAGGGGCTAAAGGGCGGACGGACGATCTAACAGAAGTCACAGAATTTTATATATAGATTATATCCTATATTTTTTGTTTTTTCCCAAACGAAACGCTGATGGTTTTATTCTAAAAGTTCAATTTTTATTTTCTATGACCAAATAAACATTATTTTCATACTCATTCGACTCAAACACTGTTAAAAGCGTTTTTTACGTTTTCTCTAGTTACAGCATTGTTGTGCAAGGGATCCGTAGAAAGCTTTTTAAAATGATGTTTAGCATTACAACATGCACAGAATATGAAAATGGTTTGCTATTAGTTGTTAATTTAGCGGCAAATGTATTTTTTCATTGGGGTCTGAAGACATACAAAACTTATGACGAATTAAGTGAATTAAATAATATTAATTTATGCTCAGACTAGAGAGTGAAGTTAAAAGAATCGGAAAAATTAGAAAAATACCAGGACCTTGCCCGAGTATATTTTTATATTACTCCCATCAAAAATATTCCTCATAATTTCTTGTACCAAATTGGAAGCATTTAGCACTCGACTCCTGCTAATCAGGAATAATTAGCAGTAGGAGTAAAGCTAACTTTAAATTTTAAATATGGTTGGAAATTGGTTGCTTACAGAGTTGCTTTCCAACATTTATTTGCAAATAATTATAAAATAACTTCTATAATGTAGACTATAAAACGAGTATCACTTATGATTCACTTATTAAACTGTTTTACTAATGCAAACTTAGTATATTAATGCGATCAAATCAAATTCAAAATTGGAAAAAAATAAAGATAATAATATAGCCGTCGAATATCTTGTCTTATATAGTTTACTTTGGCATACTTATCCGGTGAGCCGGTGTCATCAGAAAATATATATGGAAATGCATATCTATCTATCTATCTATCTATCTATCTATCTATCTATCTATCTATCTATCTATTGTAACATAAGGAACGTTACTGGATAGAATAATCGCACGAAGTTTGGTAATGGACGGTAATACTTAGGACAACAGCAAAATATATAAGATTTGTCAGCGGCGCGAAGAAGTAGTAGTCAACTGCGAGAAGTGAGTCGTGAATTCCACAATGAGTCCCCATCTGCAGACCAACATACAGTATTTACTACTGTATTTATTTGATTGGGAACATGTCCATTATCGTCCGTAGGTATGCTACAACTCTATCTATCTATCTATCTATCTATCTATCTTAATACATTTTAAAAATAAAAACTGCTTTGACTTTTTAAATTTGATTTTTGTCCCTTGTTCCGAGATTCAAAAAAATAAAAAAATAAAAAGAGAGAGAAAAAAAAGAATGAAGTCGATCCCAGACGCAAGATTCAACCAATCGATGCTTTTTTATTCAAAAAACTCTTTATCTGATGTTTGTTGAAAGCTCAAGGGATGTCAAAATTACCCTTGACCAAATGCTGCTATCTCGGTGAAGTATTATTAAAAAGTAACTTCGTAGATTTAAGAAAATCATTTTGAAACGCGTAAAAACGTTAGATGAAACATATTTTTCTCTGATAAATTTAAATATTAACAAATACAAAAGAATTGAGTAAATATTCTTAAATTATTTTAACCAGGATACAGGCAATCATAAAACTAGATGATTATTATTTTCTTCAAGAAAAAAGTAAAACTTAAGATTTGACAGTATTTTCGCTTTGTCAAGGAGAGAGGAGTCCAAGACAAAAATATATTTAGAATGAAGCGCAATGACATTTTACGCAGTTCCATCGAGATTGTCATTCTGCCACTATCATTTTTATCAGTTGATAACAACGTGAATTGCAAAGAAAACTGAAGCCAGGAATGCTTTGAATAACGAATCATATTTCTTGCTTTCAACATGAAATGAATTCAACTCATTAGAATTGGTTGTTGATTTAATTTGAAAACAATGCCCACCACTGATTTCTTATATGAACGTTTTACATATTATTTACTTCTTGTGATAAACATAAGCGCCGTCCTGGGTAAGACGATACACTACATCCAACAGCAAAGCCTTTGATCAGAAGGTGTTGAGGAGCGTGGAACCGCCTCTTAAGTGCTGATGTTCCCAGGTCCATCCTGATCCGGGGGGATAACACCTGTCAGGGCCGTCCTGAGTATGACGATAAACTACATCCGCGTCCTGGGTAAGACATCAACTACATCCGACAGCAAGGCCAATGATCATGAGGTTTTCAGGGGCATGAAAATACCTCTTAATTGCTGGTGTTCCCAGGTCCACTCTGATCTGGGGTGGTAGCACCTGTCAGGGCCGTCCTGGGTATAACGATAAACTGCATCTGACAACAAGGTCTCTGATCAGGAGGTTCTGAGGGGCGTGGAACTACCTCTTAATTGTTGGTTGGTGTTCCCAGGTCCATCCTGACCCGGGGTGGTAGCACCTGTCAGGGAAGTCCTGGGTATGACGATGAACTACAACCGCGTCCTGGGCAAGACGATAAACTACATCTGACAGCAAGTCCTTTAATCAGAAGGTTTTGAGGAGCGTGGAAACACCATTTAATTGCTGGTGTTCCTAGATCCACCCTGACTCGGGGTGGTAGCACTTGTCAGGGTCCCAACTATGGGCAAATATTTAACACCCTCCCGAAAAGGTGTCAAAAAACTTTGAAAGTACAAAAATGTTTTAATACCAGCAATAATTCTTTGGAAAAATTTTTTTAACATCAATGCATTTAAAAAATTACTAACAGCACTACATTTAAAAAAATATTGCCAGCAATAAAAATCTTGTCGGCATTAAATAACCCATTGAGGTGTTGATATGCCATGAAACAGAACAAGCAAACACATAAGCGCTACTTGTTGTGTAAGCAATTTTGCGTTTGGACTTGCAACATGTTTAATTGATAAAAATAAATACAGTGATCCCTCGCTAATTCGCGTTTCTACCTACGCGTATTCACGACTTCGCGGATTTTTAAAAAATATATATATATATATATATCTGGAAAATATATTGTGGAGTTTCTGGAAAATTCTAGAAAAATCGCGATATATGAACACCTAAAATTTTTCATTAAACCCATTAAAATATTAATAATAAATATTATTTCCTGGTCTAGGAACAACAAAACAAGCATAAAATAGCAATAGAAAGGGCACCGCCGTCCGAAGAGACGTAAAATACAATTAGCACAGTAGAAATCATCATCAGCTTCATCATCATCATCATCATCATCATTTCTACTGCGCAGCAAATTTATCACCATCATCATTCAAATTCTACTTCAACTTCTTTCGTGTTGAATACAGTAACAATCTTTATTTTTTTTAAAATCTAAATTGTTATTGCATAACAGTTGTCTTTGTTATTAATAGAGTACTATAATGGGTGGATTGTTAACAGTACAGGGAGGGTTTTAAAAGTCCAAATACACGTTAAATAAATACTGTAAATATGATGTCCCTACTTCGCGGAAATTCACTTATCGCGACCGGTCTCGGAACCGATCTACCGCGATAAACGAGGGATCATTGTATCGATATCCTATTTTATATTGAAAATACGCAACAGAAGAATCTTCTATACATGAGATATTTTGAAAAACAAAGACTGTCCGACGAAAATATTAAAAAAAACAAAAAAAAACAGAGACATCTAATCAAACGTGTGTATCCAATTATTAGCGATAAGACTTGAATGCTCAAGAATTAACAACGTCAGTATATGTCCAGAAAACCTGAAGTCAAAATGGCTACAATTCAAAGAAAAGAGGAAAAAGAGAAAATATATTTTAAAACATACCAATATTTATAATTTTGAATATAGGAACTTTAAGAAAAAAGAACAAATCTTAATGAAAACTTGTCGGAAGATTCTTTCCCAATTAAATTTACAGATATCAATATCATCTTCAAATTATTTTTCCTTTATTCATGATAATCAACCCGAAATATCAATATGTTTTTGGAGCGTACGAGATTAAATGCTGACCAATTGAAAAGCGATGCTATTAAGTTACGTACAAGCAAATCAATCACCGCAACGGCCATTTTAATAGGATTTGATGATTCACTATCTGATCTCATGAACATGAATAATGCAAAATAATCGAAGCATTTCCTCAGGATCTTGGTGCATTCTAAATAGAGACAAGGGCTGAACTGCAATGATGATTTGAAAAAGAAAAGCGATGATAAAAGGTATCAAAGGTGATGAAGAAAAATATACGAAAGAAGATAGTCCAAGAACAAAGGTGTAAGAATATGAATTTTGTGTATGACTTAGTGATAAAAAACCTTTTCTGAGAACATAACATGTCTGTTATTCCTTTTCTTTCAGCTATTCCGTTCCGTCCGTGAAATACGGTGTTACTATATCATGGATATAATAATGCTCATAATGGGGGAAACGAAAAAAAAGGGAATAATAAAAAAATTTTTTCCATAGCGCACCAATTATCTGGGTTAACTTGGCGTCACATGATATTATTTACTCCCATTAAAGGTATACATTTTTATATACCGATAGTATGTTCCTCATCTCTGATTCTGCATTCTTCACGCAACGCTTTAGATCGAGGCCGGAGTTATGTTACGATAAAAAGTGCGTCCAAAAGTTGAGATGAAAGCAAATAACATTCAGAAATTAATGGTTGATAATTCTTCTAAAAAATACTGCAGCTACGAATCATCATCATCATCATCATCATCATCATCATCTGTTAGCGCTTGACCTGTTCCGTCCACATACTTGAAAGCTAGCGTGATATTCATTAATGCGTCGCGTGTCTTTAACAAGTGGAACTGGCGCGGCCCATCCTTCTCCAGGTTAGACCACAGACGATGTCTTGCCTTGGTCACGGGCACGTTCCCGTTGCTTCAAATGGTATAACCTTTTGCCATGGCCGTTGACCTGTGTCAAGGAGGCCCCTCTCTTGTGTCATTACGGCACTGAATGTATATATAGATATGGATCACAGTCTATCCCACTGTGCTAGATGGCTGTGGACCCTACAATAATGAATAACATTATTTAGACAGCGATTTGCCGCCGGAAGTGATTTACCAACATCTGCAAATCAGCCATGATATTTGTGCCCGCATTCTCACTTTCATCAATAAGGTGACCGGCCAAAAAAAAAAAAAAATAAAATAAAATTACAAGCAACACTCATTCGTTTACCTTTTTTTTTTTTAAATCGGTTTTGGTTCTTTGTTACAGTGTTCATTTCTGGGAACGATCTGAACGCTGACTTTTCGAGATTGGGGCAAGACGGTGGTATATGCAGGATGGAACTCATTTAAGTCTTCTATATTCCATTGGCACGGTGGAGTAATGGCTAGAGGCTCAGATTGAGGAATCAGTAAAGCCTAGTTAGAATTCCAGTCGAATCCATTACATTCGCTTACGTTCTAATACCCTTGGGAAAGTATGACTCCTCTTCTTCTCCCCCTAGGCTGTGGGTAAATAGCAGGACAGACCAGGTTGCCTTGGATGGTATCTGGTCTACCGCAGAAAGAAATTGCAACCTACTGCGGGAAAATAAGCTGCCTTCTTACACATGTATCAAAAGATACATGATCTCCTAAGCGTGTATCACGCATGGCACATAACTGACTGATATTCCATTGCGATATTTAAATAAATTTCTTCGTGCTTTTTAAGGATTTATTTATTGAAGAATCTCAAAATTTCTGCAAAATCTTTAGAATGTTAGGAAATGCCTAGAATCCCGTTTTCAGCGGAAAAGTACAACAAAGGTGAAGGGCTTCAAGTGCTTAAGTGAGTATTTCTTCTGCTGGTTTGTATAAGTAAATGTTGGGAAACTCGGGTCCATGCTTTTTTGATCGGAGTTAGCCCCCAAATAAAATGGTGGTTTGTTAAATTTTATGATAATCCTTCCTAGCACTGAAAATTTATGAAAAAGGTTTGTCCTAGAAAAAATATAAAATACTGATTTTATGATCCAAACTGACCATTCTATACGAGAAAATTAACCGAATCAGTTCCTTGTGAAGAAGGAGAAGGAATTCGGATTCTCCGGTAGACTAGACAGTGAAGATAAAGGAAACGGAAAAAGAAGCATTTAACACTCAACTCCTGCTGATTAGGAATAAGTAGCAGTAAGAGTAAAGCTAACTTTAAATTTTAAATATAGCTGGAGTTTGACTACTTACAGAGTAGTCTCTCATTACTTATCTGCAAATAATGATAAAATAAATTCTATAGAGGAGAGTATGA